CCCCCCCCCCCCCCCAAAAAAAAACAATAAAGAAAAGACCTAACCGTACCCCCTACCCCCATCCCAACCCCTAACCTTCATTAAACACAAGGAAAGACCTATCCCCCTAGCCCTAGGCCTACCCCGGGCCAGACCCTAACCCTACCCATACCTCTATCCCAACCCGTACCAATACCCCTGTCCCAACCCCTACCCCAGACCCTACCCACACCTCTACCCCAGACCCTACACACACCTTTACCCCTATCCCTAAGCCTAACCCTAACAACTCTCTATTTTTATCCGTTTCATATTGCCTTTATTGGTCGCTCGTTGCGGAATTCCTCCTCCTTAATAATAATACAATGTATTTTGTTAGAATTAATCGCGGTGAGAATTTGGTTAGAAACCAAAGAAAACCTGGCAACTCTGCGCTCCTAAACAATGGAAGTAGATAAAATCTGCGTGATCAACAACGGCTGCACCTTGATTCAAGACTACTAATCCCTGAGTCAGACCTACAAAACTTTAAACTGGGCCTAAAAATGCGCAAACTACCGTAATTTTGTCATGAACAGATGGTATTTACAGTGGCTTTCGGTCTCCCATCAGGATTTTGGAAGCCATTGAGTATAATCTAGATTTAATAGTGGTCGCTCGTTACGGAAGTCCTCCCCAGTTCAGCAAAGTTCTTCAAACCACAACAAGTTACAAGCCACCCCTAGCCCAGTAAAGCCCAAAAGAGTCTTCCTTTCACTGGTGACTCTAACTAAAGACTAAAGAGCTTTTCTTATTCTTACATTTTTCATGTAAAATTATAGATCTATTATAAGCCAAACTAAAAACCCAGTCAACCCTACCAAAGTGAAAGAGGGCGACAAATCTGACAAGCAAAATAAAGTCGAAGGTCCTACTCGCTCACTCCTACCGCAGTCTCATTAGTAGTAGAGTAGTCGGTGAGTAGTCTACCCATCCAGTTACTCTTTCTTGTGTTGTGTAATGTTTATTGAAACACACCCACGGGTTTTTACCACACACTTGTCACATACCTGAAAATCACGGCTACCAAAATCACAACTTGAAAATCTTTTTCATAATAGTTAAGAAAATGGGGAATTTTGCCTCCCCTGTTTAAGTTTAGTTAAAGAAGCTACTGTCACGGCCTTTGCTCTGGCTCTGTTTTGTTTGTCAGTCGACTAGGATAGGATGTTGATGTTACAATATCGTGTGTTAGCTTCTCGGCTTAGCTCTCTTGATCTTACATGCAGTGTCTCCGTACATGATATGTTCAGACTGAGGGCAAAGAGAAAAAGACTGTTTGGTCTATAGATAGTTTAGTCTATAGCCTGTTTTTTATTTTTAGTTTTGGGTTTGTTTGTTTTTTGGTGTATTTTGTATTGTTTTACGGCTCTTGTAGCTGCATAAGGTCATATGAGCGCGCAGGTATGACATTTTGAATTTTGCCCTGGTGGTGGCCGAAGCCTACTCTTACCTATTTTGGACCACCAAGAGATCTTTAACGTGCGCAACTTGCACACGGGATCTCAAAGATTTTTCGCCCTTATCCGAGAAGGTTGGGTGTAGATCTTACCTACCATAAGATCAGGGGTATGGCTGAATACAGCCAGTAAGAATGAGCCAAGGAGTCGCAGTAGAACGAGTCAGGGGCCCAGAGGAGGGGGCAAAGGAGGTGAGAAAGAGATGGTGGGAGCAATAAGTGAAGACACAAGCCGACGACAGAATACATCGTTAGAGAGCAGGAATACGATGTGAAAGGAGAACATTTTAGAGAAGAAAATTTTCCGTTGCTACTCGGATTCGAACCCGGGACGTAGGCCTACTGAATGAAAGGCGAAAACCTTAACTTCTTGACCACGAGCTCTCTATGGCCTGTGTATAATTATATCAATGAATATATAATCATAAAAATGAGTTGCCGCAAGTATTGTTGCTTTTGTTCTGTTGTCATTTTCTTTCTGTATATGTGTAGGCCTATGGGGGGAAAAGGGAGACGGGGAGGTATCTGTACAATCTTAATTGGTATTCGGCAGTTCTCTTCTTTTGTTTGTTTGAACTTCATCACACACACACACGTGCGCGCGCGCGCACACACACACACACACACACACACACGCACACACACACACACGCACACACGCACACACATAC